GTATATAGTATATATATATATATATATATATATATATATATATATATATTATATATATATATATATATATATTATATATATATATTATATATATATATATTTATATATATATATATATATAAAATAAATCGCGCGTAATGCCGCGAGAATCTTTTTTTTTTTCGTTTCAACAACACATCTCTCTAGGAATATAAATCTATCGAAAGCGGAAGACTCGCGAGTACGAGACTTCCCGCGACTTCCCGATAGGATATCGCGAGCGTACAGACGGTTGCACCTCGCGAGGAGCGCATTCAGCATCGCACATTGCTGCGGATCATGACGACTCGAAATGCGCCAGCGATAGCAACCTGTACTCCGGCAACCTATTTGTACTCCGGACTTGGTATCGCGCGATCGCGCAGTTGTTCCTTTATTTAACCCCATAAATAAACCGCCGCTATCTCACCCCGAATACTACTCTCTTATATAGGCAACAACAACACATACGCGTGCACACGCGTGCATACAGTTAAAACGCCGTTCCGTGTATGCGCACGGTACGGAAATATATTAGATGCTGCCAGTCATTCCGGTGGTTGCGCGCGAGTCTGGGCGCGATGGGAATCCCCATAAGCGATCCGTGCATCCATCCAGCGGAAAGAATAACTTTCGCGAGGAGATTAAAGCGTGATATGTGTTACTCGCTCGATAATGGCCAGCGCGTATAATCCCTCCCCACCCCTCCCCCCCTCTCCCTCGCGAGCCGCATGACTTTAAAATGTATGATACGTCTTTTTGCGACACACACACATCAAAAAACGTGGCTATTCGCTATTATGCACTTGTTAAATTACACAGATGCAGGATATAAATAATTGATGCCGTTCGCGCACTGGTGTTCCATATGCAAATAATTACAAATATATCCTGTAAAAAGCGTAGGCAGTAATCAACAGCCACGTCGTGTTTCGTGTAACATTACATTCTTGAATAACGGAATATTATTTAGATGTTAATGCGAATTGCTAAATAAGTCGTCTGGCACACCGAGCGGTCAAATGCACCAAGAGACTCATATGTCTTGCGCAATATGTCCTGGTCGACGCCTAATCTGTCGGAGAAAGGCGTGGGTTTCGATAGATTCTTTTTGTTTTTTTTTTTTCATTTTTTTTTGCGAGAACGTAGCGAGAAAATAAAACGCGCTCGCGCTAAATTTAGGCGATCGAAACCTCCTTTCACATCCAGTTTCACTTTTAGATCACTTTTATCACTTTCTTTTTTCGACAGTGATTTAAAAAACCCATCTTATTAGTTCTCCGTAGTGTGTCGATATGTCAACCAGCGTCAAATATCGCAGATTTATTTTCAATCGTCGAACAACAGACAGTTCGGGTTTAAATGGAGCAGCGATTAGTCACGACTGCGAAATCGAAACAATGCGGACCGGACGGCGTTCCGATCTCTCGCGATGAGAGGTGTACGAAATAATTACTACGTAATACGAGGTCAATAAACCATATAATTCACTACGGTTCGCGTTGCGTGTTCTACACGCGACACGCACGCAAGTGGGCATTAATTACGAATTAATTCCACTGCGTGGTTACGCACCATTAGAGATAATCGAAATCGGCAATGTACTGCTTGGCGATTGCTTTAACGAAAACGTAATTTTTCCAATGGTGCAATTAAAAGCATATCTATTCCGCGGTCAACGAAAATCAGAAGGAGAAACCGTAGCATTGGAATATTACATAGGGAACTTGATGCAGAAGTGATGGTCATTAATCGAGGTAACGATGTACGTATGAGGCACGTTTGATGCGCGGTGTGGCCCTAAAATTGATCCGCGAGTCTCTCTGTCAAATACGTTGATATCATTAGATTTAACGACCCTCGCTGACTCTCTCTCTCTCTCTCTCTTTCTGTCGTTCTCTTTCTC